ATAACGAGTGGAACATTTCAGAGACTGAAAGGGTGTGGGGGAGAAATTAAAGGAGGCCGGAGAATATTGGCGATTGTCTTTTATCACAGCATGAGGAAATGTCTTCGGCAGGGCATAATATCTTAATAGGATAGTGGGCTCCCAGCAAGTGCCCAGTGGGACCATGCGTTAAGACTGTCCCTGGTCTTCTGCTCTGCCTCCGTTGGGCTTTCTGTTTATAGTCTGCACTTCGTGAACTGACACTTTTTGTTGCGGGTTACAGAAAGTTGAAGGAAACGATCTTGAATCGTTGTCCACCATGAACAGCAACAGAATTATTAAACACCAGTACAATGATTTAACAGTGTTTTCTAATCATGTTGCTGTATAAGGTGGACTTTACCACAGGCACTCGTTTTCGTATCACCCTTATAACATGACCTTAATATTTCACAGTTTTTGCAAACAAGGCGCAAATCTATTGTCATGCATCACTCCACTTTGAGCTGTATTTCAACACTTTCGCAATTATATCTCATTAGCAGTTTAGATCATGTAATTATATTCTTATGAATAGCCACCATTGTTCTCGTCTTTGAGCGTGTTCCTGTTGATCCTTGTATGTTTTACTTAAACCCACTTTCAGATATTTTTTGAAGTGTTAATTGTTATTGTGTGTCAGTGACAAATTATATGATTTCTGAAAATGTAGAGAGCGCACGAAAAAGTCTCATATATAACCAGGACTTAGTTAAGCAGAGGAAATAAATATAGATTAGAGTTCACAATAGACGATATAAACATTCAAGGATGTGGTAACCACACCAGAGTTGTAACCTTTTGCCTCCAAACTATGAAAGTACTTTGCTGTGAAACAAATTCCGATACACTGAATTCTTGACTAGAGCTACAAAGGTTTGAGCCGACTGTTAATGGCTGTCATTTTCTGCCCTAAGATGTAGGGCCGCATTGCTGGTGCACAAGCCACTTTGCCGGTTAAGATTTTGTATGTGTGTGTGTCCTAAACAGAAAACAAGAACATCACCTTACCGAGAATTCTAACGCAGGTCTCTTGGATGAGAGTTGATCATTCTAGACCTTCTGATAGATGCTCCTCAATTTCATCATAGATGCCAGTCTGCGATCACATGTTTATGTTCGCATATCGTCACAGTTTAATCTCTTTCTTGTGGTCTGGTAGTTAGTTAATCGTCTGATCATCCTCATCCCACATCGGACTAGTCCATGAGCGCTCTGATCCCATCTTCGGTATCTCTCTCAGCGTGTAGCGACTGATAGCACCAGTTCTTTGTTGCTTTACTATTATTCTTCTTTAGATACCTGTATAATGTTCATATCTGGCAACCCCTATTTTGACATGTAGTTCTGGTAGTCTTGTCAAGGCTGGCGTTTACCGTCGTCTCCGGAATCATCTACCCGCCCTGCCTCTTTGAAAGCATCGAAAACGTCAGCCCAATTTTTTGCTTCTTGTGCCAACCGAGAGCATTGAAAACATCAGCACGATCTATTGCTTTTCACAAGTCTACTGTGGCTCTGACATCAAGTAAATCCGCTCGTTCATTTCCTTTTACGCTAGTGCATCCTGCAACAAAAATAGAATGATTTCTGTCAAACGAGATTTCCTCTCTTTCTGCTGTAAGCGAAAGCAACATTTCACAAGGTGAATGATAGTCGTCTTTGATAACTGGGGTTAGAATTAAGGTTTCTTACGATATAAAGATGCGTGAAAGCGGAACATGAACGATACACGTATTGATGTGGATTCATGGGCACATGATATCATGGATTGCATTGCATAGAATGGAGAAATCCTAGAAAATGATTGCAAGTAGTCATAGAATTGCCCGTCCGTGAAGACGCACGTTAAATACATTCTATGGCAACAGCGATCTTGAAATGTCTTGCTCTAACTGTGGAATACGTAGCCAGACGTGCAAGTCATACCCCCTTCGGCCTGAGAGGCGAGGATCCGACAGTCTGCATACACATAAGTCAAATCTGTAAAACAGATGTGCAAGTAAAACTCACGTTCTGGTACAAGAACTTTCCGCCGGAGTTTACAGCCGGTGAACGCGAAAAAGACAAAGACACCCCTTTGCTATGCAATGTGATTCATATGCTGTAATGTAGCATAATGTAATTTTATCGTCTGGAAAGGGGGAAAGGTGCCAAAAAGAGTTTTTAATGACCAATCTTGATGGTTGGAAGTAAATCTTGGACAGACAGCAAATTAGTGGGGAGAAAAAAAAATTGGCTGAAAGTTGCAACTGTATGTTTTTATAGAAAAATGACGTGAATACCAAAGACAGATAAACAGTGCAATCGCCATGTCTTGAAAGAAATAAACCCACAAAGAGAACAGGTTACCTGTATCAAAAAAGCTAATTCCCATTCTTTGCTCATGCTATCTGAATGACAATCTGAATATGCTCCTACAAAGGGCAAATAAAAGTGAAAAATGCAAACAGGTGGATGTTATGTTACGAAGGAATATTTGTATCAACAATTTTCAAAGTATACGAGAAAGAATGCACAGAAGCGATAGCCAAACGCCACGCGACATGTATTGTGAGAAGAATAAACTTGCTTGTTTGAAAGAAAAGTCGAGAGGAACGAATTCATTGCCCCAGGTCTTATTCAATTGGCTCTCTCGCTCTGCGCCGATCAGCTAGCTCTTTGCTGTGAACGTTTCACAGAGCACTAGCTCAACAGTTCCAGCAACGGTTCCCAACTCAAATTCTGGAACAAGACCAAATTCTAGAAGTGGACGAGCAACCAGAACTTCCCGCCGGGGTTTAAAATCGATTAACATGAAGAAGAAATGGCAGACATTGACCGTGTTTGGTCAAATTTCATGCATACTTTTCACCCAATCCAGGTATTATCGCTTTAGTTATTATATAAACAGAATTTGGTACTTTCTTATTAACCGACCACAAACAGGGGCAACTCACGGGTCACGGGACAGTAAACTATTTCAGGGAGTGGTAGATTAAGCGTATAGTTTTGGTTAGGTTAGGGTTAGATTTAGGGTTAGGGTGAGTTTAATGCTCGAAAACCTTGGCCTTGAAAGAAACACACAAAAGCACAGAAAACACAGAAAATCCGCTCTTACCACAATCTAATATATTGGACTGTCCCGTGACGTCATTTGTGGTCAGCTTAAAAGAAAGCACAAAAAGAACTAAAAGTGCAGGAAAGACAATGGCTCTCAAAAAGTGTTGTTAAATATTTCCGTTAGCCTTAAATCACCTGCTATTTGCAGTTTTTAAAATGTAACGTATTTGGTATACTCAAAGTCTGGATAACAGTCAACTGGGCAAACAATAGATTTAAGAGAATGGACAAGAAAAGATAACATTAATAAAGTTACAGAAAGAAGGCCACTGCACGCTTGAAGTGTCACTCCACACGAGGGAACAAGTATTTTGAGGCAATTTTAGGTGAAACGAAACATTGACATGTTTATTTGCGTTTCTCGAACTGTCTGTAGCATTGTATTCTCTCCTCACTTCCTTTGGTGTTTGTATATATGTATGTGTATATGTGTGCGTGTATGTGTGTGTATGTGTGTGTGTGTGTGTGTGTGTGTGTGGTAGGGGGGACCCTCTGCCCAGTCTGCAAGTCGTAAAAAGTTATTACTTAGGGCAGTGGTTCTCAGCCTGTGGGTTGCTATCCTTTTGTTGGTCGAACGGCTTTTTCATAGGGGGTCGCCAAAGACCATCGGAAAACATATATTCACTGAAGTCATGAAGTAGCAACTAAAATAACTGTATGGTTGGAGGTCGCTACAGTACGAGAAACTGTATTAAAGGGTCGCCGCATTAGGCTGGTTGAGAGCCACTGATTTTGGGTGTTTTCTGAAATTGTGTGTATTGGGACCAGATATCGTAGCCTCGCTGTAAAACACAAGACAACGTGCCAGTTACCCTTTCTGTAATAAACTGCTTTGTATATCATTTATTGTCTCTTGAGAAATTCTGAATTCGATTATCTGTGATTAAGTTAATTACCATCTGTTTTTCTGTATTTACATATCTTTGGAGATTCAATTCGATTTATTTAGTTGCTCGTTAGTTGCCTATCCCTTATGCACACACGGCCACGCGTGCACACACTCACATATACAAATATATGAAAAGAGAGACATAGATGTCAGCTGATGGATTGCCCTCAAAAGTATAAAGTGACTGTCGCAATCCTCTTGCTATAAGCCTATTACATTTACAAGTACTGAATCTTTTTTTCTTGTTGTTTGTCTACTTTTAAACTTCGGTTCTGCGTGTACATCCGTTTTTACAGATCTGGCTTATTTATATGCAGACTGTTTGTTCCTTGCCTTACTGGCAGATGCACCCCGACTTCGAAGGAAACACCCTAATGTCTATAGCCTTTTGCGACATTCTTGTTAGGGACAGTGGGTATATTCTTTCTGCTAAAAAATTGGACACTAGAACCCACATGGGGAAAGTACCGAATGACACACCAGAGAAGCAACGAAAGCACGATCAAGGGAGTAGATGCTATGTGGAAAATAACTTCTGGTCGAATGAGCAAGCACACGTCGACGACGTCTGACGGCCATCCCAGCGCCAGATTTCCCCATTTTCCACTCGAACTTGCAGAAAAACCTGGCAAGCGACGCACAATTACCAACATCGCAGACTGAGACTGGTGTGTGCATCGTCGGTTTGTTTACTTCCACAAATAACATTCTAACAAACAATTTACTAGCATTTAAATATGTACATTTAGAAAGTACTTGAAATTATCTGTTACAGGAGCTAAGGTTTAAGCAAGTAAAACCGATATGTTTGTAGAAATTTTAATTTGAAATGTGAATCGTCTGCCCGGCGGCTGGGGTGTTCAAATCGAGCGTATCGTGTTGTATTGAAAACCGCGTTTGGGCCCTCGTTGTTTCTGCGGTGTTCATAATTCCAGGTCTCTTTGTGTTTTTGATAAGTAATATTCTTCTCTTTGTGTGTTAAACAGGTTTAAAAATGCTGAAATTCTTAAAAAAGCATCCCCCCAAGGAAAGCGAGGAAAGAGAACAGCTTAAAAAGGAGCTTTTTGCATTTCAAAAGGTAAATTTTGTTTGTTTTGTTACTGCGTATTTTAATTTTTTAATACCCGCCAGTAGATTTGAATCGAAAGAGAGAACGCACCGCACACATTAATTAAGGCGTTTGTGTATTTATTTATACTTTTTTTTTTTGCAATGAGAAAAAAACCTGCAAATTCTACAGTGTAGAGTAGACTACACTGACTAATTTTGTCTCATCGTTCTTCACTATGCTGTAATTTTCCCTTCAAGCCATCATAGTCAATTAATTAAAAACTTTATTTGGAAACTACTGATATGTTACAGTGTTACTGTTAAAAAAAACCTTCTGGAGACGAGAGGGAGCCTTTTTGTAGTTTCAGTTCCAAAAATACGAAGCCTTTCGGGAGGGGATTCTCATAATTTATACACAAAAAAATTATAAAAAATATTTAATTAACATCTACAAAACTAAATATTCGTTTAGGAAATTGAATGAGCTAACAATATTTATGAATCAAACTGAAAAATAAACATTTATCCAAATTAACTATTAATTCTGATTTGCATAATACTGCAAAATTTGTGCAAGCAATTGTTTTGGGAACAAACCTAAAAAATTTCGATGAACATTTTTTCACGGATAAAGCTTGATTAAGTCGAGGTAATAAAACACTTGTGTGTTTTGGGAAGTAAGGCCCTTGGAGGCGGACACTTCTGGCACATGGTTCTACTTATTTTCCTGCCTCCAGCTGTTTCGATTTCTATGAATGGCAGTCATTTTTGCCATTGTTAGGCACAGGTAACCCAATAAAAAAAAATTTATGTAAAATTACCAAACACATCAAACTTTTTCCGTATGCTGTCAGTAAACAACACACATGTGCAAGAAATGTGAAAATTAATCTGATTGGCTGGTACGAAAGCCTGCCGGCCAATCTCAATCCTTGGGCTATCCTCGGGCACAAAAGATGGCGGCTGCAAAAACATCCTAACAGAGCCTCAGTCACATGTCAATTGCGCACTTGCGGCGACTTAATTAGCTGTTTTCCGGCGACTACTGCCACCGCCGAGAGTCCCCCCACGCTGCTCAGGAGGCGTGAATTGGGGCGAAACTACATGACTAGGACTCATGAGCAGCAGCTTTCGCATCTCCTGCAGTTTTGCTCGTACGTCCTAGCCATCTAGTTTATCCCCACTCCACTCCGTGCGTGGGGGACTCCTGGCGTTGGTGGTAATCGCTGGAAAACCGCAAATCAAGTCACATAATCCTAGTTTTGCCGGGATGTGCTCATGACCGCAGGTGCGCAAATGCCAATCCTTGTATTACATAGGGCTGAATGTCGTCCTTTTGGTCACTTTATGTTGGGCTGATATTTTGGCCACGTCTCCAAAGGGTTAATGCTGTTATGTTCGTGTTGCTCCATTCAAAATAAATATAATAAATACATTTTAATAATTATTTACACAATACTTAGTAAAGCGTAACCTAATAATATTATATACCAAAATGATTAGAACAGACATCTAATTTTTAAAATATTGTATGTTTGTTTTATTTAAGGCTGCATTAATATTAATTTAGAAAATAATAATTAAATATGTATAAATGTTTTGTTAAAAAAAAAAAAAAAAATCAAAAGTTAATATATAACTTATAATTTTCATGGGGACTGTACATGTGCTGAGTTTTTGAAATATTGTTTGTGTGTTGTATACTGTTTATGGGCAATCATATAGACTTTTATTTAATGGATAAATGCTTATATGTGTTAAGGGGACCCATAAACTTTCACACAAAGAAGTAAAGTAGAATAAGTTGTAACACAACAACCTGCTATACCATACTTGTCAATGTCGGGACATTAAAATAAAGAATAAGGGAAGTTGCTGTGGGTTTTAATCTAATCCATGCCATAGATCAGGGCTATTCAGCTAAATTCACAGGAGCTAAAATTTCAAAACAGGGATCAACATGGGCCAGAGGCTAGTGCTCCAGCATAGAAATATCATCAATGCAGTACAAATGGCAGTAATCCGCTGGCCACTTGCGATGCCTCCCGGTCAAGAATTGGCTACCGGGCCATTAGTTGAATAGCCCTGCCACCTGCCATGTGCTGATAGAAACTATTTGTAGAAATCCAACAGTTAACAATAAAAACATGTGTATTTAACTATCTCACACCTTTCATGTACTCCTCCCTGTGTTAACCTCTGTATTTTCCAATGTTTTTAGGCCTCCCTCTGCCCAATTTGGTAATTTAGATCCTGACTTTTTTTTACATTGTGTTCAATAACTGTAAACTCCAGCAGAAAGGTCTGGTTGTTTGTCCACTTCTGAATTTTGGTTTTGTTCCAGAATTTGAACTTTGTGTGCACGTCATTTTACAGATCTGTCTTTTTTATAAGCAGGTTGGTTCCTTGCCTCTCAGGCATCTGCACTTTCAGCTTCATAGGAAACACTCTTAATTGACATTGGACATGCTTGTTAGGGTGCAGTGGGTCTACCCCCCCCCCCCCCCCATAGGGTCCTGAAACCCACATAAAGAGGCTTCTATAAAATCAAAGAACATTCTAGTTTTACCTTTATTATGTTTTATAAATAACTAATCACTTGAAAATGTAGAACATTTCACATATCTTGGCAGTGTGGTGTCCCTACTGGAAGTGACAGAGGAAGACATACAGTCACGTCTGAACAAAGCTAGAGCTGCTTTTGGAAGGATGAAGCAAATCTGGAAATCCAACAATTACTGCAGAGGAACGAAACTCCGACCCTACAAGAGCATAATTTTGCCAGTTCTTTATGGAGCGGAATGCTGGAGAATGACCAAAAAGGATGCACACAAGCTGTCCACCTTCCATGACACATGTCTATGTAGAATTATCAAAATTCTCTGGCCAGATACAATCTCAAACATTAAATTACTTCAAGCCACAAACCAAGAAACTTTAGACAGTATGATTTCCAAGAGAAGATGGATATGGCTTGGCCACGTTATGAGAATGACTTCTGATATATCTGCCAAAACAGCTCTCACATGGACACCAGAGGGAAAGAGAAAACAGGGGTGCCTAAAAACAACATGGTGACAAACGATGGAAAGGGACCTAAGTGCGGCATCTTTGACATGGAAAACTGCACTGAAGATTGCACAGGACAGGAAAGCGTGGAAAGTCCTCTCTGAAGCCTCATGTGCCACCAGGCATAACGAGAACTGATGATGATGATGTGTTCTCATTATTTCTTTTATCGGCACTAGCGGCTTTTTTCACTACTTGATTCACTAGAATTTGTTTCATTCCCTCTCAGACTCTCCAATCTCTACATTAGTGAATATTTGTTACTCCTTCTTCTGCTTTACTCTTGAGAAGGCAGTTTATTAGTAATTGTTGTAGTTATTTTTCATAGAACAAATATACAGAAGTAGTGATTTGATGCTAGGTCATCTTTTCTGATGAGTTCCACAGGTTTCCTATTGCTGTGAAAACTGAACCTCCATTTTTGTCGACATTTTCACCAAAATAGGTAAATAAATACATCTCTTCTAGTGACGTTTTACCAAGGAGCATCTGATCGTCTTGATAATTTCTCATCTTGTCTTTCATTTAGATAAGTGTTGTAACCTCTTATCAGGCATGTCTGATAGACAGCAATAATTTTTGTTTAAATTAATAAGTGCTGTTGTAAGAAATTAAAGAATGGCCTATTTCTGTTTCAGTGTGTTGATCATGGATTTCCATCCAAACCCAGTGCGTTAGCATATGATCCCAAACTGAAATTGCTTGCTATTGGGACCAAGTCTGGAGCAATTCGCATGTATCCTTTATTTGTTTGTTTTAAATGAAAATAATCTCAGGTTCTGTTTTATATGATACAGGAGGCATGTTGGGCATTGTCAAGTTATAAATATGGTGTAATCTGTTACACATAAAAGTGATGTCAAAACTCCTTATGGGATATTCTACAATTTATCATAAGAAGGCTGAACAAATACTTGAAGGTCAATAGTCTAGCCAAAAAGCTGAATATCATCACAGCTTTTGAGTAAACAGGTGCACAGTAATTACAACCCCCCCCCCTCCCCAAACAAAAAAATATGTTCGATGATTTTGAAGAATTCATAGTTGTTTTATAGAAGTGAGAACAACACACTTTGCCTGCATATGTTCCAAGTTTTTCATGAGAGCAAACACTAGAGATGTGTCCCTGCAACTTGGAACCTGAAAATGCTGATCTTGTGTTTCAACAGTGTAGACTACTGCCAACAGAGAAGCAGTCTGGCTTGTTCAAACCTCAGTCAAGACAAAGCAGTATTGTTGTAAATGGGGAGATTTTGGACTGCACGAAAGTTTAATCAAATCTACTAGCTTCTTGATACGGTTTCTAACAGGAGGATTGAAGAAAAAGAATCAGCTGATGGTGCTGTTTCTTCTTGTTAGCTCATCTCCTGTTGTAGAAGATTAACATCCTGGGTATCACCAGGCATTCATAACTGTAGCTTTCTTTCTTTGCCTTCATCTGTGGCAGTTTGTAATCTTCAAATATGTTAACACTATGGCAGAATTCTTTTCACATCTTGAATTTTACTGTCTCTATAATGTTAGTCGCAGTGTTGTTAATTTTATGCAGATATATATATATATGAAAAAGATTTACAAATAAATAAATGTGTTACAAAACTCAAGCTATTGATAATTTAGTAGATACTAGCAGTATTTGTTTGTTTGTTTCATAGATTGTCCAGTCTGAGTCCAGCTTGATCTTATCCAGTTAAAATTTAGGGCCAAGCATTATATCTCCTGTCACAAAAAACCAGAACATAATCCAGCAGATGCTTATTTGATACCAAAAATATTGTTTAAGTAGCATTTTAAATCTCAAACTTTGTTAACATGAATATTTATTGTTTAGCACCTTTTTGTTAGAACCAATCTTCTACTTGTCAAGAATGTTGGAACAGTTTTTGTTTTCTTATTCATTCTGACTACAATATTGACCTCAACGCTCTGGTAGCTATGGCACACCAGGGTTTGAGGCCTCGGCAGCCCATGAAGGTGATGTCTCTGTTTCCAACTTGTTCTTTGTCCCTGACGAGGTAAGCATGATCAGTACAAACATGATTTTTTTTTTTTTTTACAGTTTGGAGCTGAGTTTATTTTGGTACAGTTTGTTTGGAGTTGCTTTCAAAGTTCAGGATTACATTTCATAAATAAAAATGTTACTACAAGCTCACTTTTATCTCAAGTTAGTGGTTGCCACATGGTTAATTTGGCTCTTACGCAGAGAGCCGGGTTTGATTTTTAGTAAAAGAGATTTTTTCTTTAGCCACAAAAATAATTCTAACAGGCGCAGTTACTGGCAACTGCACTGACCATGCATCTTTAAATTCTCCCCGCCCCAGTAAATGTGCAAAGTATTTTATGTTCATCTTTAGAAGAGAATGTCTGATTGATGTTTTCTGTGAACATATGATTTTAAGTTAATATGATGATAAACAACATGAAAATGAAGACTTACAACATTCTAAACAAAGACATCATGTGACTGAGCCAGAAGTTGATGCACTTGCAGTACCTTTACACACCAGCTACCCCAGCAAAAATTATTTCATTGAATTCTAGATTACCATTTATGTTGTGTTCTTGTTTCAGGGTTATATAGTTTCAGTCTGTAGTGATAACTCCCTGCATTTCTGGGAACTGAACAACCGAAATGGTACCTGTGTCCTGGAGGAGAAAAAGTTTGAATCCCCTGAGCCAGTGTGAGTATAACTTAACTGTAAGCAGCAGTTACAAGAAAATGATCTAGTTAGTTTAGTTTATCACAAGAGAGATGATAGTTTTACTGGCTACTAATTACATTAGAAAGATGCATTTCAGTATATTGAGAACTAAGTTAGGGTGGTACAAAAATGAAGCAGGCAAGGCGGCAGTGATTGAAGTCCCCAGTTGATGCAGAATAATGTGACAATACTCATAAGTAAAAACTGATAATGAGTCTACCAATCAGTACAACTGTAAAAGGCATATCAATGTCCTAAATTTGCATGCAGCACAATTCTTTATCAAAATGAATAAAGTTGAACAGCTACCAAAACAAGTTCCGTCTAAAAAAAAAATTCAGCTCAGATATGTTAAGTTCAACTTGTAGTACAAGTAAACGGATCTATGGAATCCAAACTTAAGAGTACATGAGCGCTGCCTTGCAAAAACGACAATGCCAGAACTAACTTTTTTAAATTATTTGACTCAAACTTCTTATGGCAATTCTAAACGGTGTATGGGCGAATACTAGTCCATGGTGTACATTGACAGTAAAAGGCAGAAAAGGACTATAGAAGAAGTGCAAAGCAGTATATGATCATCATAAACCTACACAAAAGTTTTTGGAAATGCATACTTTCTGTGTTTCATCAGCTTTCAGTTTAGGAAGAAAACCAAAGGATGTTAAAGATGCTTGTTGTTATGCTTCCACTTAAGACTAGAGAGAAGAGAATAGTTGCTGTATTAATAATATACAATTTTTTAAAATAATTGTTGTGTGGTTGTCTTTCTGTTATCGGTTATTTGTATTGAAGAATAAATATATTCCAGGAAATTGAAGAATGTATCATCAAGCTGCTTGAGCACTGATGCATCCAGGCTCTTTGTTGGAACAGGGGCAGGAAATGTTCATGTCATTGATGTCAAGAGCCTCACAGAAAGCAGCGTCATCACCTTGGAGTCACTCACTCAGAAGTAAGTCTTGTAGCCAAGTCTAAAGTCACCCGACTCTTTACATTTCAATAACTGTTTGTTTAAAGTTAAAGTGGCTATTGCTGTGATGTTGACCTATTGTGCACCACTTATTTTCCTAACTTGTAAGTGAGGGCTGTAAGGTGGATGTTCCAGAAGTTCCCACTCTAGATGTTCTGGTATTGTCATGAACACCTAGTGCCACCTAACAAATGGAGACATTAAGCTTGATGTTGCTGTCAGCTAATGATGCCTTTAGAAACTCACAAAATACATTTTCCTGCTTTTTCATAACCATTTGTGACTTATTTATTGACTTCCCCTCATGCTTACACCTTGGTGGCCATGATAGCGCAGTGGTCTGTGATGTTTATTTGAATTCCTAAAAGAGCGGAGGATGTTTAAAAATTGGACCTAGACTTCCAGTGCTCCCATTAGCCTTGGCTGGTCAAAACGGTCAGGAGCTGGCCCTATAAACTCATCACGGTTTGTGGTAAGAGTTCTTTACTTTTAGACAATACTTTCCAAGGGGTTATGGGAAACATTGACTGAGTGCCAAACTTCAGGCTAGATTTGTTGGTGTAAAGAGTACCAGCTAAGGAGTAGATGATTTGGAAACTATTACTAACTGTATGAAGATGCCATTCAGTTTGAAGGAGTATGCTTCGATTTTTAAATATACTGTAAAGTGTTTTGGACAGAAGGAAGGACATATAAGAGGGTATACCTATGTGATGAGCTGCATGCCATAGCAGAAGATAAGATAACTCAGCGTGAGTTGCTTAAAGACCTGTGCACCACTAATGGATAAAGGGCTGAAGAAGAAGAAACCAAAAGTTGTTACAGCTGGAGTGTTATTGGAATCATCAGCTTTTACCTCATAGCTTTTTATGGGAGGGGGGTGGGATCTTTGGTTTTTTCTAGTGTACCGTTATATGTATCCAGACCCTTTGTGTCATTCAGCTCCCAATAGCTCATATGGTAGCATCACAGTGGGCTCTATGTCTCTTTTGTGTGTGGCGAATAGCACAGTTTATAAGGGGTAAATTGTCAAAACACATTTAACTGCATTTTTCAGGACCCCATTTTGAAGATAAAAATAAATCACCTACTGTCTCTTGAAAAATGTTGTAAAAGATGACTAAATGAGGACTTGCTGAAATTGGATCTTTTAGGTCGATAGGCAAAAATATTTCAACCACAACAGAAAGTGTTAGTCGCCCTTTTGAGAGTGAATGATGGAAAAAAAAAAGGTCACGTCCTCAATCAACTCCTGCCAGGTCTTCATTATGCCCCAAGCCCCTTTTACCAATTGATGCAGCGAAACATGAGATCAAAGGATTTATGGTCAGGTTCGCTGTAGATGCTTTTTAAATGAACAGTCAAACATTCATAAAGGGCTGTTCAACTGACAGGCTGGTTTCTGCCTGCAGATACCTAGCAAGGGACCCACAGATCATTGTTGTGTATATTAATGATATTTATAGGCTGGGGATCTGGTCATGACAATCGCCATTGTCAACAATTGTAATCAAGTATCATATTGGAAGTTAACTGTTTTTTATTTTTATTTTGGTCCTGTTTGCTTCAGTGTACCTGATGATGTTAAAGCCAACCCAGGAGCAGTGGAAGCTGTTGCAAGCAACCCAGCTAACAAGGATCAGGTATGTCAGCTGGTTAGCAAAGGATAATAGGTTGGTTTGCTGGGTTAGCGGCATTAAAATGCTAGATATTTTCCTTGGTGTTTGGGAAAAATGGAATACTGATATCCTAAATTACAGTGTACAAGCCAAGCTGCGTAGTTTTATTAAAAGGTTTTTAGCTCCAAAGGCTAAGTTGGGCCTGTTATACCCTCTGCATAAATCTTCCTTGAGTTAGTCTTGAAATGTCGACTTATATGTTTCAGTTTATGGTGATGTAATTTTCGGCCATTGTCCACTTATGATTTTATCCATATTGTACTTTTTCATTTTATCCTAAAGTGCTGCATGTCATACTGTATCAAAGGCCTTTTTGAAATCGATCTTAGCCACTTAAAACCTATAAAACACTTTTTAGCAGAGAAAGGTCTGGTTGTCATCACATTTTGGACAGACAACATCCCAGATTCTTAAATAAAGCAACTCTCTGGCTCTGTAGTATTTTTTGATTAGTTGTGTATCCTTCACAGGACGTTGCAGAACCAACCCCAGCACTTTCTGGCTGTTGTGGTTTTTCTAGACAAATTTATATCCAGTAGTTTGCCATTGCTTTCTGGGCGGTTGGTTCTCAGTACTACGGTTGAAACCATCGCAAGAGAAAGCGTCCGCAGCAGGGATCGAACCCGCACCCCGACATTATGAAGCGCCTAAGCCATAGACGCTGACGGCTCTGTAGTGTAGATTGTATTTAAAAAAGACTTGAGTGTTTTATATTTGCAACTTCTGATTTGCTACTGTAATGTCTGTTATTTATTTGGTCACCAAAGGCTTCAGCATCTGCCTCTAGTTTGTTCGGCATTCAGATATAATGACTCCATTCTGTGTTAGTGCCCGGGTGTTTGAGAAACTGTTTTCTAATTTTAAAAATCAAAAATGTTATCACTTCTTGTTGTTTTATTAATTTTGATTCTTCCTTTTTCCTTTCTTTGATGTCTGGACTTGTTTAATATAAAATAATTATTACTATTAAAACCTCCTTTTCCCCCCCACACTTTTTTTTAAAAACAAGTTGGCATCTTTGAGAACAGGTTCAAAATTCCAAGGTACCTGGTTCGGTTCCATCTGCAGGTGAATTGACATTGGACCATCTTGCGTTGATTTTTACATTGGTATCGAGAGTTGGTCGTTCAGTAAGCAGCGGTAATTTTTTGCATGTAAAATTGCCTAGTGAAAACACAAACAGCTAAAAAAAATGCTGTGGTTGGTTCTGCAATGTCCTGACTTTTTCAACAACAAACAGGAAAAACCCTTCAGTTTTATAACACGTGTATGTTGTATTCCTCAGTTGCTCATTGGCTTCAGCAAAGGATTGGTTGTGCTTTGGGATACAGTCAAGACTGCTGTAGAAAAGACCTTTAATACTTCATCGGTGAGGAGAGTTTAACAAAAAATAAAGTTGTGTTGTGATTTTTTGGGTACATTCCTATGTCATTTTTACATAATATGCTACAGATAAGTAGACTGCAGTATTGATTAATACTGACAATTTTCAATTGATTGCCTGGAAACTCATATTGATATCCTGGTGCTTAGTTTCTTTTTATTGAAATATACAGCAGACCTTAGAGAAACACACTCTCTGTGCCAACTGCTTTTAAGTCCAGCTTACCTAAACTGTTCTTCTTGCAAGCTCTGGCTCAGCTCTGCCTATTGCAGGAAACACACCAGATGTGACAAGCAACCGCCCATGTGGATTAAGCATCATAAAACGCATTGTTAAATCTTAATTTTTAGTGTGAGCATGCTGAAGAAATCAGACTGCATGAAGCCCGTACTGGAGAAATCAGCAGCTTGCATACAGAACAAATAAAAGCCAGAGTCGTTAAAAAAGCCAGAGTCATTTAGGAAAGTGCTGTGCCAGTTTTAGCTTGACTTGAAGACATTGTCTCTTAAATTCATTCTGCAGCAACTAGAGTCTCTAGCTTGGAACAGAAGTGGTGAAGAGTTTATTAGCTCCCACAGTGATGGAAGTTATGCTGTCTGGAGTGTCAACAACCCTGCTGCCCCCAAGGATCCTGCAGTCAGCCCATACGGTAGGTTATAAGTGTTTAGGCCCCATTGTTTATTTCCAGCTAACTTGAAACCAGCCATCTGATGCTAGAGTAGTTGAATACATAGCTACTGTTGTTGAAATCTCAGGTGCTATCCCTACTGACCTCATGTGGGAGGTTATTAGTGTTTAGGCCCCTTTGTTTATTTCCAGCTAACTTAAAACCAGCCATCTGATGCTAGAGTAGTTGAATACATAGCTACTGTTGTTGAAATCTCAGGTGCTATCCCTACTGACCTCATGTGGGAGGTTATTAGTATTTAGGCCCCATTGTTTATTTCCAGCTAACTTGAGACCAGCCATCTGATGCTGGAGTAGTTGAATACATACCTACTGTTGTTGAAATCTCAGGTTTTATCCCTGCTGACCTCATGTGGGTTCCAGTCCATATGGGGGGAGGGGGTGGATCACCCAGTAAGCATGACGTAAAAGCGAGTAATCAGAGGTTTGTTAAAATAAGATAGGCTGTGCCAACAGATTAAAATAATGCAGCCTAGCTGTAAACCACAACACAACATGCCAACTGCCCTAGGGCAAACTCAGAAGAGGCCCCCACATACCTATTAGGGCACGGAAAGAGCAAAATTAATATATAATGATTATATTACCTAGCCTGCAGTGTACATTAATTTAATTTTCAAGTATTGCGGCCCTCTGTGTTTCACACGGACTGTTGACATAGTGCTCTCTATAACTTTGTGCATCATTTTGCCAATACGCTTGATAACAGTCCCCATTTATTTCATATATAGAGATGAAGACATACATATGTGCCTGTTTATTGTGTTACTCAAAGCATACATTTCTTAGTACTTATGATTGATAATTATATAGTTATAATCCTACCAGCTTACTAAGTATGTAAACGTTAAGTTAAAATTCAAATTATTTTACATTGTAATTGTTATAGATGTTTCTGAACATAGCTGCCTTATTGATGCCCTGGTGCAAACAAAGTGACATTCAACTAAAAAAAAAAACTAGGTTAACTTAAAAAGCTATGGTCCTTATTTTTAAACAACAGATTTACTAATTCCTGCATCTAGTTGATTTGTTTAAATACATTGTTTTAAACAATTTTCTTCAGGTCCATTTCCCTGCAAGGCAATCAATAAGATTCAGTGGAAGGCCACACAAAAGTAAGAAATTGTGGTCAGTTTTGTGTGTTTTTACAGGCCTGCAATTTTGAAGGGAAAAAAAAAAGAATTAATAAATATTAGATGTATTGTTTTCTTTCAGTAGTGTCACAGGAGTTTAGTGTTATCACTTGAGTTTAGTGTTATGAGCAGAGTTTAGTGTTAGTGGAAAGCAGAAAACCATGATTGCCACAAGCATTGTCGCCATCACTAGGCAAGATCATAATAAATGAATGAATGCCAATCAAGGACACGAGAGGCCAGTTACTCAGCTGAGATGAAATTAATAAAGAATCGCACCCATCTGCATTTACTGGTTAGGACACTTGCCTTATATGTCCAGTAAAATTTTTATTAAAATGTTTTCACTTTTTAAAATGTCCATCTGTAACTCTCTTTTCAGTCCTAGGTTTTTTCAAACCTTTGTTTTTGATTTCCATGAAACATATAATTAAACATATAACTGTAGATGTTTATAGACCATTCTGCTTGTCATCATGATTATATGCGTTTCATTTAATATTTATATCTGATTTTTTTTACATTTAATGGTTATCTCATAAGTTTTTATAGCATTTTCTAACAACCTTGCTTCTCTGTTCCTGTACTTGTATAGTGGAATGCTGACTGTACTGTCTGGGGGCATGCCTCGTGCCAGCTTTGGAGACCGCCACACTGTTGGCATCATTGAAGGGGACAATCATATAGTAGCAGATCTGTCATCCAGAGTCGTTGATTTCCTAGTTCTCTGCCGGGGTGACGAGAAGGATGCTGTTGATACTGGTATGTTTGTATCTATCTTTGGGGACAAAAGAATGGACGGTTGGATTCCTCTTAAAAACAGTTAAGGGAATCAATTAATGTTTGTCGTCCTTACCTGCATAGGACTAGAGCTTAAACTGGCTGATAAAGCTGTTAGTGGGTGCCCTAATTATAACTTCTTTGGAGGTTAAATGGGTTCCCTTTGATCTACCTCTCTCTTCTCCTGTCCAGGCAAATTTATACTTATCTCTGGATAGCATGGGAAACATTTTGGAGACAAACTGATCCGATTGGTCAAATTAGGTCTATGCTGTTGTATAAAAACATTGATAGTGAGTGCAGCGTGGGGGTAAAACGGGACCTCTCAAAATAGGGGTTTTCATCTAAATATGAAGTTAGTTTGTCTTCTTCTTCAGCGATCTCTGATCATGTTTTTAAAAATCTACTATGGGCCATAAACTGGAATGTCTCAGGGTCTCCACAAGTCTTAGTTGGCAGGTCACACCTTGTGTGGCATCATGTTGTTTCTCAGCTCCCATTAGAGGACAGTCTGGTTGGTTTATAATGACAGGAGAATCAAAATGTGCTGGAGTCTCATAAAAGCCATCCTCCACTGTGGCTATGGCACTTAAAAGATTTGTATTTCTCATAAATTTGTGACATTTGTACAGTAAATGGCTCACAGAAGTAATGTGTATCTGATGTGCCATTATAAATAAAACAAATAATAGTAAATATACTAGTGGAACATTGGTCTGTTGTAATGGTAATTTGTGATTCTTTGGCTCTTTAATATGTGATGTAATAGTGGTTATTTCAGTTTGTTCAGTTGTTTGGGGTCTGTTCCCATGGAAAGAAGCTAGCTAAGTGGGATAAATTCCAATGCAGTGATGTCGCTCCTCTTGATTTTTACTTTTGCCATTGTTTTATAAGATTTTTTTTATTTGTTGCGTTCAGGAAGGGACGACCCTCATGCCATAGTTATCCTTGCTGAAGAGGAACTGGTAGTTTTGGACCTTGAAAGTGAGTCATGGCCAGCCTTCCGTCTGCCATATCTCCACAGCGTGCATTCATCAGCCATCACAAGCACCCATCATGTCAGCAATGTCCCAGAGCAGTTGTGGCAGAAAATTGTGGACGCAGGAGATGCCCAAAACAAGAATGTGTCAAAGCGGGTGAGAGTGTACTCCAAATAAGTTGCTGAAATTAACTTGTTGTATTCTGTCAAAGAAATTAGAAGTTTTGCTATACACAATTACATTGTGTTGGCATGGAAATCAATAGTCGTGCTATATTGTCATATAAATAATATTTGCTTGTGCAGGCTTACAAATTAATGTATGTGTGATCTTCTCATAGTCCACATTATGTTGCACTATTAATCATGCCAGTCCACAACCTTCTGTCTCATTTGATTGCTAATCATTTGTCATACTGATGATCTCCCAAGCCTTGATTTGAAACTATCCAACGTATCTTTTGGTTCCCCCTCACCTAATGTTCCTATTATTATGTTCTACAATCACTCCACTTTCCTTATTCTATGCCAAAGGAATGTCAGGTATAGAAATTAAAATGTTAACATACAATTATTAAGTTTCTGTTTGCTGTACTAGATACTTAAATTAAGTAGATTATTATACAGTTAAATTGCCTGCTTTTTTGGGCCGGTAAAAGACAAAAAGGAAAGAATGATTTTAAGGAAAGAATATGTCTAAAACAAAGTACAAGTAAATATTAAGATTCATGTCAGATTAAGGCAGTTTAAATATTTTCTCTGTTCAAAACATTTTATGAAAATCAGTAATTGGCAGCAGCATCAATATAGCATTGGATATTTATATTTCAGGACTGGCCTATTAATGGTGGTCAAAGTTTGAGCTCCCCTCCGGCCACCAAGGACTTACTTTTAACTGGGTGAGTTTGTAATGTGATTACCGTCATCTGCTTTTTAGCACTTATGTACCAGTTAACGAATGACTTGGCATAACTTGCAGGGTTGTAAAATTATCTAATCAAATGTAATCCACACACACATACTTTGTGTTGCTAAAGAAAACTGATCATCTATGTGTGTGATAGAGTGAGGTGTCTTTGTCTTCTTTCCTGGGCAGTACATTTAAAAAAAAAATACTGACATGCACACTTTTAGTGCAGCAGATCGCAGTGGAAAAATATCCTTCTGAGCGGAGTGGTCTCATGTGGAGAATGTCTGTCATAGAGGAAGAGACAGCATCATGGCTTGAGTTATCTTGGACTGTTTCGTCATTTCTTTGGCCCATGTCAGATTTCAACAAGCATTTTATTTCTTAAAAAGAGATAACCATTGTAGGCTTCTTTTTTTTCCGTTCTGCAGGACTGTGGTGTTGTGCCGCTGGGCAAAGTGTCTAAAAGCAACGCTGGTAACTGTACAGTCTGATATGAGAGTGACAGTCTCTGTCACTGTTTCATTATCTGTAAGAAATGTTTTCAGAAACGTCAGTTTGCTGAAAATCTCTGTTATCTATGCCGGTGGTTTTCAAATCCTATTTTCGGATATCCTTATACTGCATCTTTGGTTTTACATTTCGCCTTTTCCTTGTGACAGGCCTTGGCAATAGAATGTGGAACACTAGCTGTTGGCAAGTGGCAAGTTTCCCCTTCACATCACAGATGTTCACTGTCATGTGATATATCTTCTTCTTGACGCATTCACTGGCTTTACTCCAGTGGAAAGTTCTGGACTTTATCTTGATCCAGAACTAACAGATCTGGCTTATTGTGCTTCAGGCTGTTGATTTCTCACATCTTGAAGGAAACTCCTAGATAGTTGCCTTGTATGACCTGCTTGTTAAGGGAGTACTTGTTCCCCCCAACCCTTTCCCTTCACAACAGACTCTCACACCTAAAATGTGATCTATTTTTAACAAATGATCACTTGAGTATTTCGCTAAAGTGTAACTTTTTGTTTTTTTTATCAAGGCACGAAGATGGAACTGTTAGATTCTGGGATGCATCAACTACGAGCTTGCGTCTGCTGTACAAACTGACCACTTCCTCACTTTTTGGCATTCCTGATCATGTTGCAAGCGTAGAGGAGGAGGAGTGGCCACCCTTTAGAAAGGTTAGGCCTACCAAACAGTTATTTTATCATTTGTAAATTATTTAGATTTTTTTCAACAATCAGAATGTTTAAATTACTTGTATATGACATTTATTTTAGGTTTTAAGTCAGATTGTAACATATCTGGAACACTTTTTCAGTTGACACCCTGGCATTCAGTAAAAATAAAGTGACCTATTTCATATGATTTTCATTCTCTGAAATGCAGCTGTTCTTGTTTTACATGTTTATTTCTGCCACATTGTCTTTCTTTAAAAAAAAAACATTGATAAAACTTCCTATGCCATATTTTCCTAGTGGTTACACTATACTTAGCTTACAAATCACAAGAGATATTAGCTGGTTGATTTTAGACCGCAATTATTTTTTATTGATAACTCCCCTAACTGTTTAAAATATATATTCAGGTTTTGGGTGATACATGGTGTTTTTTGTTTGTATGTGTGGGGGTATATGACATGTGTGCATTTTTTCTAAGTATTTTTTTAGGTTAGAATTTAAAAAAACACGAAAGTATAGGAGCTTAGCTTTTGTGTGTGTGGGTCACCAGGGGTGAAAGGGTTAAAAGCACAACTGACACTATCTCAACCAAATACCTGTCTTTTTTTTTAAATAATGTGAACTTAGAAACCTTGTGTATGCATATCCTTTGTAATGGCTTTAAAAGGGCAGTTGGCATGTTGTGTTGTGGCTTACACATCTAGGCTGCTTTATCTATGCCCTTTGGACTAATACATTCATATTTGGCAAATTCCTAGTGGTTGCCTTTTACAGTATGTTTATTAAATAGAGGGGCAGTGGGGCCCCCCCCCCGGTTGGGGCCAGAAACCCATATGGGGAACATATATAATGGCAGTCAAATTCAGTGTATTTTTTGTTCTATAAACCATCCAGGTTGGGACATTTGACCCGTATAGTGATGACCCAAGACTGGCCATCCAGAAACTGGCCCTTTGTCCGCTCAGTGAGACTTTGGTCAGTGCAGGGGCAGCTGGGCAAGTGTTGATTTTCACCCTGGAGAGGCAAGAACGGGAGCTTGACCTTAAGGTAGGTACAGCTGTTGATGGATTTGTTTTACATACATGTGCCTGTTAGGAAAGCTGAGTCAGTTCCTGAATGTTATCGTAACTGGTTTGTAGGTTAAATTGATTATAAACATGATAAAGTTTGCTTATGTTTATTTGATGGATCAACATCAGAACACATGTGTGCTCCTTTCTACTTCTAACTTAAGCCTGTGTCTGAAGAATCTCAGCACAGTGCACGAACTCCATGCACCGGCGAGTATCCTGAAATACTTTAGGTTGGATTTTTAACTTTACATTTTGCTAGGCAGTGCCATTGGGCTTTTTTTTTTTTAAATTATCAACTGCCACAGGATTTGTTCCATGCGCAAGAATACGGGCGTTCCGATCTTACTACCCAGAGACCAAGGGAAACTTACTAGAAGTCCACTTGAAAAATCCCAGCCTTCATCTGCCTTGAACCTGGGACCTCCAGCACTTGAGGCAGACACCATACTTTGAGACTACTCAGGCGCACCCTTCCTCCCTAAGTTAAAGACAGTTCTAACCTGTGTTAAAGTCTTATCATCATCACATTGTTTTGTCACATAGGGCTCACACTTTATTCTCCCATTCCATTCTGTCCTGTGCAGTCTTTTCGATACCATGGGTGGAATTGAGTAAACTCACTTTGGCATCTCTTTGTAATGTTTGTTTTAGAGTTTCTCTAGGGCGGGGCTATACAAGCAATTTTACCCAGGGGCCAGAATTCTTAGTGGGGATCGTCACAAATCAGAAGGTGACAATGATCTGATGGCCTCTTGTTAGGGCTTCACGGGCCTGATCTGGCCTGCGAGCCCCCAGCTGAATAGCCCTGCTTTTGAAACATTTATTTCCTATTTGAATGCCTGTTCGGTGATTCTCCGCTCGGCTTGCTTCTTCTCAGTTTATGTCCTATTTAGTGCTCTCTTTTTTTTGCTTCTTACGTTTGATACCAGCGTTTGTCCAGACATATCTCTTATTTCTTCTCCTTTTTTCTTGAACTGATCCAATCAGGTTCATTACTTGGCTCAGGCATTTGCTTTTGAATCGTTTGAACTTTGGTTATTAAAGTCTAATGCTGACTTCTAAAGAGAGATCTGAGTGCCACTATAGATGATTAAGGAGATTTGATGGACACAAAGTATGTCATCCGTTAGAAAATGTGTGTAGCTGCAAAATCCAGCAAATTGTAAATAATTCTACAAAAGGTTTGGCATGCATTGCCTGAGGGTCTGCCTGTACTGCTTTGGAGGATGAAACAAAAATGAGCACACACACACACAAAAAGAAAGTAATCACTTAGAAAATATTTTGTGAATGACTATTTAAAAGGTTTCGTATAAGCAGTTGCACATATTTTAGTTTCATATGACACACGTGGGGGAGGGGGGGCACTGCCTCCTAACAAGCATGTCGTAAGAGGCGAATAATTGGGTGGGTTTCCTTTGAAGTTAGAGTGCATTTGCATGAAAGACAATAAACCAAGTCTGCACACATTTAAGCCATATTTGTAAAATGGATACACACAAAATTTAGCTCCTGGAACAAAGCTTAAGTTCAGAAATGGACGGATAACCAATGACATTTAACAGAAGTCGGTGAAGGCAAACAAAAGGTTTCATGGATGTAATTACTAGTAAATAGTTTCATTTTGGCTTTCTACAGGAAATCAAGGTTAACGTCTTGAATGATCATGAGGGCTTTGTCTGGAAAGGACATGATGCTCTTAGCTCTAGCACCGAGGGCCTGAAGCTAGCACAAGGCTTCCAGCCCACTCTTATTGTACAGCTGGAGCCTCCTGCAGCCTGCACAGCCCTGGCTCTTCACTCAGAGTGGCAGCTGTAAGTTCTTGGAATTGTCTCATTGTTTCATGTCATTTGTATAATGGTCAGGGAATTAAGACTAGAAGTGTCTTATGTGTGACTGACTGTCAGTGTCAAGCGAATTTATAGAAGTTTCAGCTTTTTATATAGCAGCAGTTTTCTGATGATTTCGTGTGTCATTTGGTGGCCTCAGGTTTATTATATGGAAGTCTCATTTTGTTTACATGGAAGATAATGACAAAATTTTTTAATATAAAGAGCGTCCATTCGAAGCTCGTTTAAATAACTTGATAACAAAGGTATGAAAGAAACATCAACAGGTGTGACAATCAAACAAAAAGCCATTTTTTTAACACTGTTCACCTTGGGTTGGTCAGAAACAGTTGCTGTAGGCATTTAGGTAAGCAACCCAAGTGACCTTATCAAAGAAGCAGAGTACTTCATGTCTGCTCTCTGCCAAGTGGTCTAGGGGTTCGGCCCCGTGAGTATTTTTTGAAAACTAACCAAGTCTTTTTAAAAAAAAGTCTCTTCTAGTTTCTTAGGTAGAGTCCTGAGAATTATAAGGATCCATATTTCCCCCCAAATCTGAAGAAGAAGCTATTAAAAATAATTTTAACGAAGTGAAAGGTCTTTTGCTTGACATAAATTATAATATAAAAAAAAGGTTAGTTGCGTATCCTTTACAGGACGTTGCAGCACCAACGCCAGCATTTTTTGGCTGTTGTGGGTTTTCTAGGGAAATTTACATCAAGTAGTTTGCCACTGCAAACGGTCGGGTTTCTCAATACCACTGTTGAAAACCAGTGCAAGGCATGCAGCTGGAATCGAACCCATCACCCCGGCATTACAAAGCATGTTCGCAACGCCTAAGCCACAAATGCCGGCTTTACATAAATAGTAATGTAAATTATAAAGTATTTGTAAATATCAAAACAGGGGCCTTTGTGCATATCCTCTGACAAACCTGCCTTTTTTCTTAGGGAACACTGTATCCGATTTAGTCAAATGTGAAGTCAACTAAGGAGTTGGTTGAGTGGTGTTGTATTCATTCAGATGTTAAGAGTGGAAGAAAATGTATTTAGAAAATTCTGTTTGTGCATTTATTACTTATACATTTATTTTGCTAAATACTCAGTGCTGTTTAATTGTTTCTCAATTGCTGTCTGTTTTCCACTTATTTTGCTTAGTATCCAGTGCTGTTTATTTGTCTGTATTTAACTCACTCAGTCACTGTTGATTTGTTTCTCACTTAACTCCTTCTTCCATCATCCAGAGTTGCTGCTGGCACAGGTCAAGGTTTTGCCCTCATAGATTATGCTCAAAAGAAAGAGGTGATCACACGATGCACCCTGAACCCAGATGGTGAGTGATAACTCTTGTGCGCTTGTGTTGTAAAACTTTTCTCTAACACAGTCATTTTGGCTAGTACTGTAACACATTGCCCTATCACACTCAACCACTATGACTAGTATTGTAATCTGTAACAGCCTGAATCATTGTAGCTAGTACTGTAACACATTTGAGACCTAAATCATTTTAACTTGTAAGAAATTTCTCTGACATACTCATTTTGACTAGCATTGTTACACATTTCTATAACAAACTCATCGGAAGGACTTGTACTGTAACACATTTCTTTAACAAACTTAATCATTACGACTTGTACTGTAACACATTTTTCTCACATACTCACTCATTGTGACTAGTGCTGTAACACATATCTCTTACAAACTCAGATCAGAATGACTTATACTGTAATTATGGCTGTACCGAATATTCGCTTCTGAGCTGAATAGTGGACCTATTGACTTTTCGGTATTCTGCCGAATACGAATAGTAGTTACCTTACACGCGCTTATGCATATACGACCTTAATACTGACAACATGAAACAATTAGTTTTGTTGAAAGCTACTGCAGCTTTCATGCATTAACTAAGATGTCAGTGACAATTTCCAAGTTTAGTTACTTGTTATAATACTTTAAATTCTTTTATTCCTAGTTATTGGTTACCACAGACTGACTGAAGGATGCAAATAAAATGTTTTTAAATGTTTACTATTCCGTTCGAATACTAACTAGATCTAGAAAGAATATAAACTACGGCCACATCTAAGTTGATAATATGAAAATCAAACCAACGGAAACATATAAGTACTTGGGTGCAAACTTCAACTGCTCCAACATGCAGAGAGAAGAAATACTATCTAGAAATAAAGTATACTACGCCCTTTAACATCTACTAAAGTCAAAAGTATCTGTTTCGCAACACCAAGATCAAAAAATACAAAATGCTGATAAAACCAGTCGTTTGATATGGCTCTGAAAACATCCTATCAAAGATGCTAACAGCGGGGAATAGAGAGTGAGAAGCAACAACGTAACACATAATCAATATTGATCACTGGCATCATGAGAGCTTACAGACTAAAATGGTTGGGGCATACTGAAAAAATGTCAGATGACAGAGTAAAACTGCATAAACCTGAGAGAGGAATGGGCGTAGACCACGAGGCAGACAAAAAAGAAGATCGAGAGATAATGTCCAGCCAGACCTGCAAACAACTGGTGTCACAAATTGTGAAGAGAAGGCCAGCCAGAGAGATGAATTGAGACGAGTTCTATCTGCAGCAGTAAACCTCAAGTGCTCAGAATGCTAAAGAAGAAGATGACTATTCTGTGCTACTTTATGTGAAATTAAAGTTAAGCGTACATTTAACATTGTGAATGTTTTTTTTTTTAAATATATATTTTATACACTATACACTTTGTATTCGGCCGAATAGTTGGTCCCGTTATTTGTATTCGGCCGAATAGTAAAATTCACTATTCGGTACAGCCCTAACTGTAACAGATTTCTTTTACAAACTCTGTATTTGTTATAAACTAACATATTTCTTCAACTACTTCAATGTGAAATTGCTAGAATTTTTTTTAACTGATTTCTAAATTAGTGTTTCTTTTATCTGCTTTTAGTTCTTTCCAGCCAGAGCATTAGTTATTTATTGTTTATACTTTATTAATAATTGTTTTAGTTGTTCTGCTTGTTACTTGATCCACACAGAAAACGTCGTCGGTTATTTTCCTGTTCTTCACGTTTGTCCCCCCTCATTTGTAAAATCAGCTAAAAAGTCTTGATTGTTTATCCACTTTCTTGTTCTAGAACATTTGGGTTTTTCGTTCCTATCCTTTGACAAATCTGGCTTATTTTGTATGTGTACCATTGGCCCTCAGGCAGGCCTACTCTAACTTTAAAAGAAACAGCGGTAATTAGTTGCCTTTTGCGACCTGGGGCTTTTCTCCTAAAATGGGGCTATGAACCCACACTGGAAATCTGGTCAGCTGTAGTAGTTGATGTGTGTCTTCTGGCTAAATTTCCGTTTATTAATGTTCAGGCCAAGTATTTAAGTGCATTCAGTCTATGTCTATTGTTCTTTGTCATTTGTGTAGCATCTCATGTTGAAACACATTTTTGCTTTTGCAGAACTGACAGGGACCTCGGACACAATTGTGGCTCGAGGGAAGGCTTTGAAGAAGTCCCTTCGAGAATCATTCCGCAGACTGCGCAGAAGGCGATCTGAGAAAAATCAGAGGGTAGAAAGAGTCAAGTCAGAGGAAAGCAAATCGTAAGTTTCAATACAAGAGTGTGCAGTGTGTAAGAATGTTGTTGCCTGGTATCTTCTCCCTCTCCGTCTCATTTTTAACATCTCTCTGTCTCTTTCTGGGTATCTCTCTCTCTCTCTTTCTCTTTGTCTCTGTCTCTCAGGACAGTGTTTTCCCACTACTAATTACAGTAATCTATCTACAACATTTCTGCTTTTTTCCCCTTATGGCAACTATTTAACAGATAAAGGTTAGAATCTTGAGCACAGTGTTCATTTCAGATTTAGTTCTAATATTATTTTTCTTGTTTAGGGCATTCTGTAAATTGTTTTACATTGTAAATTAAAATAATTTATTGTAGCAAAATTCTGTAAATAAACTTTTACAAAATTTTTCAAGTTCACTGTTCATACTTGTTGTTTTTCTTAATTTAAATTCCTCCTCTAATGGGTGATAATATTTTATAAAAGTCCTCATTCTTCTCTGGTGCTTTATGTCTGTTTGAAAGTCTTGTTATCTACAAAATAAACTTTTTACTACCTGTTAAAACTCATTATGTGTGAATCACTCCCTTCTACTGAATCCCATCCCTAGCTTAATACGCTGTCTTACTTTTTGTCTTTGTCCAGAATGTGCTCAAGAAATATGGCTTATAAAATGGCCAGTTCCTACTAAGGGTAGGGGGGGGGGGGGATTTGAGCATAAGCGATTATGATTGAGGTGCAAAAGTGTAGCCCAAAAATATATATGTTGGTACTATAAGCCTACTTTATATACGTGCACGCTCACACACACCTCTGATGTTTCAGTCACCATCTATGCTGCAGTTTGATTTTATAGTTTGCCTAAGATTAAAATAGGTACTAGCAAATGTTTCAAAAAGTAAAATAGCTGGTTTTATACTGACCTCACCCTATAGGTTTAGAAGAAGCTCTTCAAAGAAATATTTGGGGGGTGTTAGAGTATGTTTATTGTACTGATGGAATCGCTTAATTGTACTGATGGAATCATTGTACTGATGAAAGCACTTTATTGTACTGATGGAAGCACTTTATTGTACTGATGGAATCACTTTACTGTACTGATGGCTTCACTTTATTGTACAGATGGAATCACAATTTAAAAAAAAAATTATATTTTTCAGTGATATTCAACATATTGAAGAAACTACTGATGCTGCCACAGGCACAGAAACAGCAACATCTACATTGCCTGCTGAAACTACAGCAGCAGACACACCAGCATCTGCAGAAACAGCAGCAGCAGCACCTGAGACACCTGCCCCCACATCTGAGGTACCTGTTGCCACATCGGAGACACCCGCAGCCACAACTGAATCTACAGAAGAGACACCAGCCACACCTGTGGCACCTGCAGATGCAACCACTGCTACACCGTCAGCAGCACCGACAGAGGAGGCGACTACATCTGTGACACCTTCTGAGGAAAGAGCAACTACTCCTACTGAGACAGCAGCAGCAGCACCATCTGAGGCAACACCTGCAGCATCAGGTGATGCTAAACAGGCGGAACAGCAGACTCAACCTCAAACTGCAGAAAATGCTGTGACATCCATTGTGCGATCACTGTACTTTGCTGATACGTTCATTATAAATGGTAGGTTACTTTCTCTTTATTAAGACTAAAACAGCACAGTTTGATGGTAAATTCAAATGCACATAAATATTCTGTGAACAAAGCGAATACATAAATAAGTACTTATTGCAGTCACAGAAGCAGTACCACTATGGTGTGTTTCCGATCTGCCTCCACCTTGTGGTCGAGAAGTTGTGTGAGTTCCAGTGGCAGATGAGTTATGCTGATGTTTGAAAATTTGTCATGTCACGTCAAGGACATGACAGAGAAACAGTCCTCTTGCCGTTTTAGGCGGACTGGGGACGGTCAGAGACAAAGGCAAGCAAAGTTGGAAAATTACTTGTCAAAATCTATTGCTTTGAGAAACAAAATGGACACAGACATGGTGAACTTGCTCGATAATGCTGGAGGGCAAAAACAAGACAGTAATACATTCCTTTCTACAATAAACCTGCATAAATGAGACAGATTGAGGTAACAGATTGTTTTGGATTAAACAAAGACAGTTGCCGTCTAACCTGCCATGAACTAAAAAATCTGAATTAGAATAATGATGTGATGATTTTGCAAAATTAAGTAGTAGTAAAAATTCTGGTCTCTTCTGATCACAGGGTGTGGAATTGATTGCCAAGCCTTCTCAGATGAGAGCTAAAATAATGAGTCTCGAGGCACACAGAATACTTACCTGTATCTTGGAAAGAGTGAATTTTAATCAGCAGAATTTCAGCCTCAGTGGAATATTAGTAACTCTTAACGTTTACCATTGTAAATGTAATTTGTAAACTTATACATGTCTGTTTAGGAAATATAAACAGTTAAACAATCAGATGCTGTCTTTACAATCAATGTTAGTAGCATTGGATCTCCAGCACACTCACCTTCTGCCTCATGATCAACTCTAAATACCATTGTCATAAATTTTTTTTTCTGTGCGTTATCCAACAGGTGTTTCTCACAGTCCTTCACTGTGGGTTGGAACCAGCGGAGGCCACATCTTTGTGTACAGCCTGACTGTCCCAGCATCTGATAAGAGGGCCACTGAAGAAGTTCAGTGTGTCTTGGCCAAGGAGATCAAACTGAAGCATCGCGCTCCCGTCCTGGGTATGGCTGTTATAGATGGCAAAAATAATGTGCTGCCCGATGCCTTTGAGGTGGTTAACGAGAGAGCCAAGGCACCAGACATGGAGGGCCAGCATTCAGTGATCATTTGCTCAGAGGAACAACTCAAGGTCAGTGAAGAAGCATGTAGTCAGAAACATGTTCTCTAATCAATATGATTTCTTTATTTTCATCTGGGATTGTTGGTCTAAGAACAAAAGATGAAACACTAAAAATGCTGCTTAGTTAAGTAGTTCACTGTGATTACAAGGCAATACAGTCCAGTACATTAAAAATGGGAACAGCCACAGTTTGTCATAATCACCAGCTCAGGGCTGCAACTTGGGGTGGAAATTTGGCTAAGCCAAATAAATAACTAATTAATTATTTGATAGAATCAGACATGTCAGCCTAATGGTACAGGTGTCACAGCCATGATGATAACCACAACACAGCTTGCCACCACATTTTTAGTGGCTTACTCGGAAGAAAAAGAAAATAAAATGTCTCCTATTGTATTTATTATAGCTGTGATCATTTCTAAAGGGGTGTCTTTATCTCTTGCAGACATTCTCCTTGCCAGCAATGAAGCCAAGATGGAAAAACAAGATCACTGCTGTTGATGGGACTAGGCTGAGAAAGTTAAACTTTGTGACTTTCAGACGAGAAGGTAATGATAAAGAAGATAGAGAAGTTTTACAAAATATATTATTTGCTTAGTTGCTTATCCTCGATTGATGATGTAGCAGTCTTTTGGATCTGACGAGGACCCAGTTCCCAAGAAGCTGGTCGTCTTTCTTCCACTGTCAAAGGATATTTCGAAGCATCCTTATCATTATTGTTCTCTTGGTGTTCAGACACGTAGTACACAGGATTTGCACTGTGAAAGAAAAAAGATTGAGGGCTTCACCACATAATATTCCCCCCAAGCAGTGTATGGTGCACTGTAGCCAACCTTCATTGCGCAGACTGCGGAGAATTTATACTGTTATACATACTATTAATCAGTATTATTAGCTAGCACCACTAGGTGTCATAAATTGTTACAAAGCAGTCTCTGTGGTGGCATGATCAAGCTGTTTGCCTCACTCTCAAGGTCGTGTTTTCATTGTGGCTGCACCATTCAGTTAGCGACAGAATTTTTTTTTTGCACGTTGTAACTTGTAAAAAAAAAAGACAAGGGATTTGACACCCAAAAAAAAAAAACTAGGGGTTTTGACACCCCGAAAAAAAACAACTGTCTACTGTGGAAATTGAACCCCATTACTCGAGGATTAATGCAATTTTCAAATACATTCGCTAACTAACCTCAAAGCCACAGGGACACTTGTTTTGACAGTGATTTCCTTCGTAAAATATGCATATCTTTCGTTTCTTTGAAAAAGACAAAAATGAGAGTATTTGTGGATGAACTGTGAAAAGATTGTATTTGTTTCCCCTCACACAGGTGACAACTATAGTGAGAGTGACATTGCCTGTGTCACCAACACCGGGGATGTGAGAGTGTACTCTGTATCCACCCTGAGGAAGCAGCTGTCATCACAGTCCCTGACCAAGGAGGATGTCAAGTAAGTTCTTTTGGTTTAGGGCCCTCCTTGTGATGCTGGGAGTACATTTACATTATTTCTTTGTAAACAGTTATGAGTTGATAAAAGGTGAGAAAAATATCTGGACATTCACTTGTATCAGTAGTCATAAGACAAAGAAAATTGTGATATATTGGGCACATGCTGAGAAGCACGCAGAGATTCACCAGACAGGCAGAGAAATGGAAACAAATGGACTGAGGAAATACGGTCTTTTGAGAGAAACCCTAAAACATATGTTAAGGAGAGAAGCCAGATGAACAGTACTAGATTCCATCTAAAATATCAATAGGATTACACAGGATAAAATGGAACAGAGGAATAGTCTGATACCCTTACATGACCTATAATCGCACAACAGGATGATGCAACAGACACTTTTGTTGTTGAAACTTAACCCTTTCAGTCCCAGACCTGTTTCTTTAACTGCTAACTTCTGAAGCTGTAGTTACTTAAAGGAATAATAGTACATTTATCTGAAAAAGGTTTAACTAACACTATGAGACAAAAGGAACTGGGATAGGTATGGTACACAGTGCTCAGAAAATGAGTGTTAAATCACTCCCGTAAACATATACTAAGTTCCTTGGTGCTGAAAAAGATAATAACCATCTTTGCTGGGGGGGGGGGGGGGTGGAAGATAATAAGTAAACTCGCTTCGTTACTACTCACAACAATCGCCACATCTCATCAGCTGCAAAATTTCTTGGCGGTTCTCACAAGCTGTCCTATGTTCTAGGGTGTTATGAGAAGTCTCCCTCCACGGTCTATATACAGCGTGCTTGAAAGTGGCTCGAGTTCGTTCGACTCAGTCGACACATTGTCTTCCAGACAAAATGTACAGCTTTCTTTTCACAACTTTATTTTCTAGGAACGACTTTTGTTTCTGGAATGTGTCGTTGGGAGACGGTGTCATATGCCTGGGTGAATGGATGAAGTACTGCTTTTTCTACTCTACTTTCTTATGGTAGTGTTTTTGAGAATTTTAAGGATCCCCTTTCAAAAAAATTTAAAATAAAAAAGACTGGTCATCCTTATAAGATTTTTATTGTGCTAAAGAGCTAAGGATGAATACACAAGAAGATGGTCATAAGTGTTTGAGTGCTTGAGTTGTATCATTGGAATCTCATGTTGCAAATGAATTTATCTATTTTCAGTGGAATTTCATCATTTGTGTTTACTAAAGATGGGCAGGGCTTTTACCTTCAGTCACCTTCAGAGTTCTCTCGAATTACCTTATCAACAGCAAGTACTTCAGCAATCCCTAAATGTGAACTTGAGTTGGCTGAGGGTCTGAGGCCACCCCCAGAGCCCAAAGAAGAAGAGGCAGCAGCTGATAAGACATTGACCAGGCAGCCAACGGTAGAAGTGACTCCAGCCTCCGAGGAACAATCCCAGGAAGCTGCAGGGTAGTAATCTGCTTCTTAATGTTTACTCTGTTAGAGGTATAGGAATGTACGAGTGTCTCACCCAGTCTTAGTTGGTAGCCACGAGGGGCTTGTTGAAGGGGGGGGGGAGTTGTGTGTCAAGGAGTACCTCAGCCAGTATGGGTGAGTAGCAATGAAGTGTATACACGCATCTGTTTTCTTCATTCAGTTTCACTAGATAGCTGTGATTGATACAAACCTGCATTACCTATGCAGTGTAGCTCGGTCGCCAGGGGTGGACACAAAACCTATTGTACCTCAACCTCTGTAGGTGGGTTGTCAGAAGAGTAGCTGATTGGAGGGGGAAGGGGGTTCAGAAACAAGCAACACATCATCTAGTGTAGCTAGTTGGAGTGAACCAATGTTGAACTACAGCAACAAGAAATAATTCAGATTAGAGTAACTAAAGGGTACTTAGTAGATGTAACTTGTGCGTGTTTTAATGTAGTAAAATGCAAATAGAATGCTGTTTCTTTTTGTTTATTGATCTGTTCTCAGAATGTGCTATGATCATCATCTACATCCTTAGTATCTTGCCATCAACTGTGATCAGTCATGCCTTCCTACAACTCCTGTTCGTTGTACCATGTGCCAGTTAAAGTGATATTAGTCTGTACAATAATGAAAGACAATTATGTTCCTTGTCTAGTTTCTCCTATCTCTTCTTTCATCAGTTACATCAGTTTTTAAGTTTGTCTCTCTTTTCTCTTTAAAATCTCTCAGCATTCAGGCCATTGTCTATTTCAACATCCAAAAAAGTTGTAATCTGTTAAAGCAGTTTAGCAGCTTTGCACTCTACACAAACATCTAAGTTTGCTGCAGATAACATAAATTTAATACTGAATTTGTTGATTTCTGGTGACAGAGAGGCAGATGTAGCTGCAGCAAGTCCTGATGACTCACGCATGGATACGTCAATGATGTCTGCAGATATTACCGTCGACAGCGTGAAAGATGTGCTGTAAGTGGGCCTTTCTCATTGCAGTTTCAAAGTCCAAGAATCAAGTATTTGGGGCTTATTCCTTATGTTTGTAATAGAATCATCTCTACTAAAATATTCATTTCTATGATTAGCACTTGTGGGTTTTCCCCCATTTTAGAGGAATATTTTGGTTCTGTTTTTAAATATTTAAGGACTTGGATGTTAAACACTTTGTCTTTTCTAGACCTTCGGTCCTGATAAACCTTTAATTCTTGTTTATAAATTCTTCAAATTTTTAACTGACTGGGATGTATGATGCTGTCTTTCCACAACTCTGACAGTTTTCAGGCTATTTCTCTAAACAGATTAAATATTTTCCTATCCTATTTTAAGGTAAAATGTATGAAATTGTGTAGATTAGTAGCTGTTGTGTTTCACATGGCTTTGTTGGCTTTGTTTTACAACATGTGACTTTACATTTAACCTTCTAACAGATCGTCTTATGTTTTGGCTTTTCTTTCTTGCAGTGCTGAGCCTGAAGGCACCATCGTAACCTCTGTGCGGACAGTAACTCAGACAACAACGAGCACTGTGTCAGAAAATGTGGCCTCAGCAGCACAGGAAGCACAGCAGACAGTTACAAATACATGTATGTTTTTTATATTGTGCGTTATGCTGCTTGTTATAACCCAAACTACCCTTGAAAGGTTCGGCCATCGCCATTGAGTTAAGATGTGTCGATCCTTCCCCCCCCCCCCCAAATGCTTGATACAATTTGTTTCTGGGGACAGCTTTTATCAAGTTTGCTGTCTTGTCAGTTTGCAGACCTTCGCTGATTAGATTTTATCTTCCTGGACACTGGGCAGAAGCAGTCTGAACATTGCGAGCATAATGGAATTGAGGCTGCCAAATATCGGTCAGCCTCCTACTTTGACATAGCACAGCCACAGTGCACGCTACTTCCATGAAAAACGAAATGTATTCTGTGTTGGAAAACATGCACAAAATAGCAGTCCATGACAAGGGAATAGAAAGTCAAAGAGAAATCACAGTGACCGAAAAATTACAAAGCCGCTTGCCACCTTCTTAAAAATAGAAGTCTGGTAGGAGTTTCCAGTGACATGTGAAATCTTTGTATCTTTGTGAAAGTTTTGGGCCCCACTTTAGTGAAGGATTGGGGGAGATTAGGAAAGAATGGCCTTTGTCAAGCTTGTAATTTAGACAATTTTATTAAGGGCTTGACAAGCCAGATATTTTGGGTCTACCATTTTAAGGATGAACACTACAGAGGAAGAACAGATGATTTCAATGCCAGTCTACTAGTGGGGATGTTTATTTGTTGCTGATGTAGAATTTGATAGTTATTACTGAGTAACATGTTTGATTTCTAAGTATGGCTACGATTACCTTTTGTTTTAGTTACTAACGGGCTTGCAGAGATTCAAGATGGTGTGACTGACGTATTGCGAGAGACACAGGTATGGTAGCAATTTGTTTTGTTGTTACAAAACAACAAAGGACTAAACATTTGTGAAAATGTCTGTACCACTCCTCATACCTTCTTTCTGTCACTCTATCTACTTACTTACACCCCCCCCCCCACCTCTCTCCATGCATGCATATACTGATACAGTAATAACTATTACAGTCCAACTGGTACCAGAGATGCTTCTGGGATAGTAAAAGTTGTCCAGCGATGTATAGACAGTACAACCCTTGTCACATACTGCTTGAACTAAATCAGTAGGTTTAAATGATATGGGAACTGTTTATTAAAAGATCAAGGTTATTGGATGGGAGATGTGGCCATGCACTGTCAACAGTCACATAGACCTTCAGACAGTTACTTTGGGAGCATCAGCATCTATGGATATACCTGTGCTGTGATGTTAAATTAGTCTTAAATCAGCAATCATTAAGAGGCAACTTCAATTTTTCATTATCCTTGTGTGATTTTCAGGGCCACATGTTAAGGGGGGAAAAAAAGAATAGACCCACTACTCTGTAATAAGTATATGCTTATATCAATCAGCCTTGCAACCACAACGTGCCAGTCAGCCTCTTTTAGTACCAAACTGAGCACCATGTGTGACTGGATATTACCCAAATGCATGAGTCTACATATTGTGTGTGTGTATACACTTGTTTAGTCAGGGCCTATAACACTCCAACAGTACATGTCTACTACAATGTACTGTGTATGTTATCACAACTAACGTCACTGCACATTGGACATTCCCATGCCTGCTTAGTCCTCTAATGCAGCAGCCACACCCAGGTACTTTTAGTAACTGTTCCCATGAGGTTTTGGTTATGTCTCCTATCTCAGCCCCAAAGGTTGTCATAAACATATTTCACCATGCTTTACTTCCATGTCACACATGTGTTAGTGTTAGAGGTTCGTTATTAGCCGCTAGCCCAGTTCGTACAACATTTTCTGCTGTGTCCCTGCCTCTTCCCTCATGCGTTGGTGCATTGCTTGCCAGTTAGTCCACTCGCTCATTACCTTTTGCGCGAGCATGACCACATACTGTGTATTTGACCTTTGAGGATTGTAGTATACCTTTGATGATGTTGTCATGATTATTGCCTCAGTCATGAATTAGCTGTGATCTTTTGGCACTGAAAAAGCTTAGGGTGAATACAGAAAATGTTTCATTCAAAAGTTATTGTTTTTATTATAGTATTGGAAAATATAACTGAATGGACTTTTTTTGTCACAAAGAATCCGTGCTTCTGCTACTCTAAAGGCCCAGTGGAATGGAGAAGATAAAACAGTTCCTAATATGTCATGTTGCTTTTCTAAGAATCTCCCGGGCAATGACAGCAGATACTTGTCCCTCTCATATTATATATGGCAGCTAAAGATTTTTCTAAGAACGCTGTACTTGTTCACAGTCCATTGATAGTTAACTAATTATGTTGTCTCTGTATAATGCATAGGCAGGAAGAGAGAGAGATACTTAAATCCATGCACAATGCACACACATATTATTATAGCTACTAACAGTTAGTAGATGGAAAAATGCAAGGTACGGATAGATCTACCAGAATCTCGAAAATACTTCAGGACTCAGTAGAGGAAAGACCTGGGAATATTATTTTGGCTGAATGGACAGGCCACAGACATGCAAACATCAGGTCTGTTGCCTCGCACTGAGATGAAGGGAACTGATCAGAGTCAACAGAAGATGATGACATGTGTGGATAGTGTGTATCATTCTGTACAGACTACCGGAATCCTTTGTGGAGAGGAATTTGTCCTGTGTGCAAAGCCTTTTTTATGTGATCAAAGAGATGGCATTAGATGACAAGGTTGACACAGATGAGTTGAATACATGTTTGCATAACTAATGTTCATTAGAAGTAAAAGCGTCAACACTATTCACCAACTTGTTAGAGAGAGAGAGGGCGCACATAATGGCATGCTCTAAGTGCTATACAGTCAGCATTGGATGAAACAATTCTGACACCTTAAAACCAAACATCTTATTTTTGCCCTTCTTTTTTTCTGTACAAACAGCGAGAGGTGACCACTCGAACAAGCGAATTTGTCACTCGGACTTCAGAGAAGGTGACCCACACAGGCGAGGAGGTCATCAAGCAGCTGAGTGAACTGAAGATGACCACAGCGGTCATCGAAGACCCATCTCTGCTAAAGCAGAAGCTGGTCGAGAGCACTGTGACCAGCACGACTACAACCACCACCAGCGACTCGGCGGTGACGACAAATGGAGAAGAGATATCTGTTGAACCATAAAGGGGACTCTCTGTAAAGTTGAATTAAATATGAATTATTCACAATGGATAGTTGACTTTTCATGTAATTTAACTGCTCACCCTCGTGCTCATGTGCTGTAATAACTTCTTTCTGAGTTTTAACTATGTTTTGTCCACCATTTTATCTCGCGCTATGTTTAGATGTATATATTTCACACAAAAAATGTTGATTTGATCAGTCCCCTTGTGGGTTCTGGGGCCTCATTTAGAAACGGCTGGGGGAAAAGACTCCCCTCAAATTAACATGTCTTAAAAATTGATTAATTAGAGGTATTCCTGCCAAGTCACAGTGCATATTTCTGAGAGGTGACGAACAAACATGCAAGTTAATCAGATCTGTAAAACAGATGTGCACGCAAAACTTAGTTTATGGAACAAGACCAAAGTCCAGAAGTAGGCGAACAGCCAAAACTTTTTCATCCGTATTTACAGCCAGTGAAAGTTAAGAAATTATTTTTAAAATATATCTCTACTACACACACAGTAATGTATTGAGCAAATGGTGCTAGTTCCATGTTTTTTAAGGCAAATGGGCACACCCAGGCTGATGTGGTCATATCCTGCTGATAGCCTTTACTCCCCAATATATTTCCGGGTGACCAATTTTAGCAGCACTGATCCAACAATAATTAAAAAAAAATGCCCAATGGTGTGAATTTGAATACTGGTTTGTGAGCCACATCTATCTATCTATTTTTTTTTATTTTTTTTTTTGCAATTGGTTTAATCTGAGAACAATTTGGTCTAAGAACAAACGCTTAAAGAAAACAAAAGGAACTTTTGCTGAACAGTAATAGTTGCTTCATATGATTTTAATAAATCAGTGTTAATGGTGAATAATTATTACATTGAATGGAGAAGGATGGAGTCAAGTGGTTTTAATTATGTGCATTCATGTATGTTAATTCATGTCCCTCCCCTGTGTATTCGATGTACTGGTTAATTGTTGTTTGTTGTGCATATTAGTATTCAGTTAATATTTTTTAATCATGATAACATGAAAGATATAATTGACAAAATATACATTTGCCTGAAAATTAATCCTTGTTTTGTAAGATTTAAATAAGCTAGTACATACTGTGAAGCTGTGATAGTTGAGCGGGCAGTTCCTTGCTGAATGATTTCTCGAGTACTCTAATTTCTCTTGAGACAAATCTTGATGGTTCTGTTGCCCAGCTACTCAGTTGACATCAAGATGCGGATTTCATGCAGAATGCTTTCCGTTCCTGCCTAGCGTGGTGTGAACTGCATATTAAAAAACATTGACTGCTGGCGGGTTGCTATAGAATTGCAGGTGCTTTATGCAGTAATGAATGTGCAATCATTGGTTTGTCGTGACTGCTGCACCCCTGCATCCATCAACAAATTACAATTATGGTTTTAGACTGGTGGGTTTGGAATTGCTGGCAGCCCCCTTATGCATGTGCATGTTGGCTTTGACAGAATTGCAGCAAGTTTAACATTACACATGCGGCAGAGATGGGAATTGTGTGTATTGTATTCTAGCACAGTGGTGTAGCAAGTATAAGGTGACATGTTTGCTGTGTGCAAGGAACTGCGGCTAACAACTTTCCTAAGAGCTCTGGCAGACACCCAGGAACAAGTTATTCAGATTTGGCCTTGGCTGGCACTAGTTAATGGTCTACTTTATTGGTCAGATTGTCTGGGGACATAAATTAGGTGAGAAATTGTGCAGAAGCTGACACAATGCAGTTTTAAGGATAAACTATGAAAAACATCTTTAGTGTGAAAACACATTATGATGTCTTGAAGGGAAAGGAGAATTTGTCATCGGCATATACATTCAAATTCTTTGGGCATGTCAAAAGCAAGGGGAAAACGGTTGGAAAGCTAGAGAGCAAGAGAGGCAGCTGGAGACCAAGAGAGATGGTGATAAGACAGTTGGGCACTGTAGCATGGAGAAACATCTGTAGAACAAATTATTGGCAGTATTTGAGATGAAAGGTGGTAGACAGATGATGATGATGGCAGGAGCAATAACAAATTCTTTCATTCACTTCATAGTGGTTGATCAGATTCTACAGTGTTCCTAACCACTGTTGATTTAGGGTGTCAGCCTTGTTGAAGATTCTTTATAGCCTTCTGTCCTGGCATGTGGAGAGAGGTGGCATACAAAATAATGCATGCTGCTAATTTCACATGATGCAGAAAAGCCTGATGGCCCACGCCACTCAGCAAAGCACTTGATGATTACAACAATGTTCAGTATCAAATTGTTTCCCCTACTACTGTACCAAGCCCTAGTCAGTATCATTTATCAGTCATCATGTTCTGCTGCTCCCATTTACACCTTCGTTAGAGCACTCAGTACAAATTGACAATGCCTTTGTATGAAGCACACTTCATATATATTAAACATTTATCAACATTATTTACAAATGATCATTTATATCAGTGACAAAGCACCTTGCTGTAACCATGCCTCCGTAATTGCCGTTCTCACAAGTAACATTATTTTCCTGAGCCATTACTTCCACTTGCTGTGCCTGACTGCTTGCTGTCATTTAGTGCAGACGTTTGCTACATATTTTTTTAAAGGGCCTCTATTCTGTGCTTTTTGACACCTTTTGGAGTCCTGCTGTTCACACATTTTTGATCCTCTTGTATAAAGGCTCGTTGATGTTTGGCTTATCACCGTTTCAGTTTTCATGCTATAATTTGTGTAGCACTTTTGTATTTTTTCTTTAATGTTTTTTAAAACAAGTATTTGGTGTATTTTTGATGCTATGCCATTTAAAACCATCTTTTATTAGCTTGCATTATCATATGTAAAACATTACAGTTGGTTCAAGAACAAGTGACTTTTACAGCTGTCCCAAAGGAAACAGCGACTAGCTGCATATTAAGATGCATTCACACTAAATGGATGTTCATTTTTGCTTCAAAGTTTTCAGTGTTAAATGGACACAATGTGAAGATATTCATTAGTCACTTGTCTTCATCCAGCAGCTGAATCCAGTCAATACATTGACACAGATTTGCATTTTGCTGCAGGTCTCATTTGTTAGAGCTTCTGTCCAGTGCTATATTTTGAGCACTTGTGCAATGAAGTAACAGTATTTTTTTTTTCCCCCTTGAAGTAAGTCATTTTTTTCTCTTAAATTTTTAAAATGACATCTTATTATTTGCATTTGTGTATGTTCATAGTAATGGATCAACTATTGGCTGTAAATACTTGCAGTAAAATGTGAACTAATATTTTAGGACAAGACCACATGGTCTTCCCCTCCCCCACGAGGGGGGAGACTTTTAGTCCTGGTGAGTTGAGTTAATAATCAACATCACAGCAATAGGACAATCCCATAATTGCTCTGTCCCATCTTCAGCAGCCAGGCTAAGTTGCAGTTCCAGTGGTGCCCATAGTAAGTAGTCTGACAGTTCTGGTGAAGTGAATAAGAAGTATGGTGATTGTGGACTAACAATGATTCTATATCTTAAACAATTGCTGTTATCTGTTGTGAAAGAGCTGGAGCTGAGGTAGCTACAATCACTTGCTCTTGCACCACTATGCAGAAAAGACTTAATTCCCCTCTCGCAGGCATAGCAGTGCTACATCTTTTCATGTGCCTCTGGATTTTATTGGCTATTTAACCACCAGTTCTTGTAGAAATAGAGTGGAAGTAAACTAGATAGTGGAGATACAGATTTCAGAGAAAGAAGCAGATGAGGATTTAGAGACAGACGTGGCCAGATTAATTGACTTTGATGATGTGGGAAAGGGGGGGGGGGGGGGGGTTGCACATCTGTTAAGTGCTTAGGGCATTATAGGGTCTTAATTCGATGCTGGACAGAGATAATACAGGTACACATAGTGGAGACAGACAAGACTTCATCATCGGCAAGCCTGCCATTTTAAACCTACTGATTGCTAGCATAGCATGGTGCATACTTGTGCATGAGATTTGGTTAAGGCAAACGTCTGCTGACACATTTGCCTGTAGATTAGCGGTTTTCAGGGTTGAGGGTTGAACGACCCTTTCACATGGGTCGTCTGAGACCATCGGAACACACATATTTACTGAAGTCATGAAGTTGCAACCAAATATAGTTGTATGGTTGGGGGTCGCCAAAACATGAGGAACTGAATTAAATGGTCGCAGCATTAGGAAGGTTGAGAGTCACTGCTGCAGATAAAGGCAAGCCACTATCTGGAGCTGTTGCTCAGGCAGCTGCTATTCACATCCAGTCACCTTTACATCAATTTTGTTTTCATTTTCTTCCCTGGTTTTTAAATGTAAAATGTTTCCCTTGAAATCTTGTATTGCACCAACATAATTTTTACACACAACTTTGTATGTGACCACCCTAGGCTCCATGTAAATGCCTTTAAAAAAAAAAAAATTTAACCTGTTCTGTCTTCACAGTGAAGGTTGGCTGCTGTTTACTGCTGCTGTCTTTGGGAATATTAGATTGATAAATCTCTAGTCTCTTCCACAGTGGGACTCTCATACTATTGCCAGGCAATCTTGAAAAAATATACAAATAATAAACCGTCCACTGCAGAAATAAACCCTAGTACTGGAGGATCCTGAAATTGTTAAATGCATTCACTGACGTGTAAGCCACATATGCCTGTTTTACAGCCTGCTCAATAACTATGGGTCTGCTGACGTATATATATATTTATGTTTGTACACCGGGCACCAAGTATTTACAGCTTCATTCATATACTCAACTAGTCATCCTGCTGGTCAATTTTCCATAACATGAGATTTAAAAAATGATGACAGACTGTTCTGTGCCATCTTCACCAACCATCAACACACAGCCTTAAATGCATACTTGCTGATGGTGCACAGCCTGTTTCAGTGTTCCATGATTATACATTAATAATTCTGTACTGTATATTTGCTGTTTTAATGTAAGAAGTCTGGGTAGCAATAAGTCAAAGTTTATTAAACAAACATGAATTTTAACTGCCTAGGATTCTGGCAAAGATATCTAGAATAGAAAGGATAA